GGTTCTTTATGGATGATCGGTTGGGAGCACGCCTGGAGCATTGGCTGGTGCCGAAAGACACCTGCAGCCAGCTTCCTCTTTCTGAAGGGGCTGTTTCCTCTTCCCCCTTGGTGCCACTGCAGCCCTCTCCAGACATATTGCTTCCTTGGTCTTGCAGTTCTCCATATACACATTTGTACTGAAGTCCTTGTGTGCATGCAGGTTTCCCAGCCCAGCCACCTCCTCCAGCTCTCCCATCTGCTTCCTGAGGGGACCGGTAGGCACCTCCCTCTCTCACAGGATGGTCTCCCCAGCCAGCTGGCTTTCTATGATAGAGAATCAGGCCACAGTCTCTGCAAACCCACACCAGGACCCACATAGAAGTACCCATGTGACTTGAGACAGGTGTAGGAGCCAGCAGCAGCATTGGCGATTTTATTTTTTCTTCCTCCTATAAATTCTGTTTGCTGCCCCTTGGTCACCACAAATCTGGCTTTTAAGCCCTTTTCCCCTAGGTCAGTCCTGCCCCTCATTAACACGTAGAGGAAGCGTAATCAGAGGAGACCAAGGCATCAAGGGATGGAAGCGAGAGTCCTGCTAGTAGGGTCCGGCCCTCAGTCCACAACAAATCACAATGTAAACTTTAAGCAAGCCAAAGATACACCAAATGGTCAGACAAGCTCATGGTTAAACTGTGATGTACTCGAGCAGAGAAATGGCAGTACCGAAGGGGCAGTAGGTAGGCGAGTTACCAACACCAAAGCTGCGTGTGATGCTAGCTAACGAAGTGGAAAACCAATGGTTTGGTGCCCTGTGAATGGTATGAAATCAGCAGCATCGTGGGACATTGGTGTTCATTGTACACGGTGCTTTGCACAGTGCTAAGGTACCAGGAAGGGAGCTGAGGAGGCTCCTCGGGAGAGTATAAAGATGAGCCTTGTAGCTGCTGCTGGCACCCCCAGGGCCTATGACATTTTCAGCAGCAGCCCCACTGCTCTCCGCTCAGGACATGGCACATAGCTAATGTAACGCCAATATTTAAAAAGGGCTCTAGAGGTGATCCCGGCAATTACCAGTAAGTCTAATGTCAGTACTGGGCAAATTAGTTGAAACTATAGTAAAGAATAAAAGTGTCAGACACATAGAACAACAATATTTGTTGGGCAAAAGTCAAGATGGTTTCTGTAAAGGGAAATCATGTCTTACTAATCTTTTTGAGTTCTTTGAAGGGGTCAACAAACATGTGGACAAGGGGGATCCAGTAGATATAGTGTACTTAGATTTCCAGAAAGCGTTTGACAAGGTCCCTCACCAAAGGCTCTTACATAAATTAAGTTGTCATGGGATAAGAGGGAAGATCCTTTCATGGATTGAGAACTGGTTAAAAGACAGGAAACAAAGGGTATGTCCAGACTACAGGCTTTGTTGACAGATACTGTCCACAAAGCCTCTGTCGACAAAGAGCGTCTAGACTACATCCAGTTCTGTCGACAAAGCAAGCCCCTTTGTCGACATAACAGTGTGGATGCAAAGGACAGTGTACATGCAATAATGCCTTCTATCGACAGAACTCTGTCAACAAAAGGCGTTATTCCTCATAGAATGAGGTTTACATATGTTGACAAAACTGCTGAGTTTTGTTGACGTTATGTCGACATAACTCAAAGGCAGTGTGGACGCAGGTATGGTTTTGTCAACAAACTCCACTTTTGTCAACAAAACCCTGTAGTCTAGGCACACCCTCAGGGAATGAGGGGAAAGTGTTTACATTCTGTGCATGCCTCTCCTGGCTGGTGAAGGGAGGGGGCAGAAGAGTAATTCACAGAATCCAAGTACTTTCCCCTCGCTCCCTGAGAGGGGAATGGGAAGAAAAGCAAGTCGCGTCCCGGTACGCAGGGCTGCTACTGCCCACCACCCCGCGCTCCCGAAATGGCGCCCTTGACTACTGCCCATGGAGCGAGGGTATTCCACAGCACGCACATTGTCCACTGAAGTGGGCCTCCTAACTGGTCACGGGGAGGTTGTTGTTGAGGCGTGATGGGTGTAAGTAGCACATCCTTTCTATCCTGTCTCAAGCCTGGCCACTGTCGACAGACAGGCTACTGGGCTAGATGGACCTTTGGTCTGACCCAGTATGGCCGTTCTTATGATGGCAAGAGAGAGATCGCTTGATCATTACCTGTTCAATTCACTCCCTCTGGGACACCTGGCATTGGCCACGGTCAGCAGACAGGGTACTGGGCTGGATGGACCTTTGGTCTGACCCAGTATGGCCGTTCTCATGTTCTTACAGTGTCACTGGACAGGTTAAACTGCATGGTCAGCAATGGCCAGCCCCCGGGGGCATTTGTCAGCAGCTCTTCCCCGTGTTCAGCAGAAGCCAGTGACCATGTTGGGGCACTTTCTGGGGGCCTTGGGATGGCAGGCGTAGGGAAACGTGGGCCATGGTTTAAAGGGGGACATAATACACTTGGCATATTGTGCTCATAAGTTGCCTTTCTGCTAATCTAACAGCATTGCTGAGGTAGGATTCAGGGTCAGTGGCCAGAAGGGCGAGAGCTTAGAGAGACCCTACCCTGAATTCTCCAGGGGTCATCACAGAGTCGATATTCCCATCAGTTCAACCTGCTCAGTGTTAAAACGTCCAGCCAGGTGTTCAGAGAAAACTCAGTGAAGGGCAGTCCCTGCCCTTGTTCTGTGAGGGGGAAAACCTAAAAATAACCGGGACAAAGTAGCTTGATTTTGCTTGCATGTGCACTGGAAAACTTCATCGCTACCTTTTTATTTGGCCAGACACGGCTGGCACAAGGGAATTGTTGGGCAGAATTACAATGAATGGGGTAGACAATTGGGTAGATTTTTTAAAATTTTCTTTGGTATAATGTTAACCTTAAAATGCACCTTTTGTTCCTGGTTTTGTGGTGTGGCTGGTTTTAGAAAAACAAAAAACCTACTGTGTGTAAATTTTAATTTTCAAATGAAACTTTTTTTTTAAAGTTTTGAAAAAAAAATTCCATACAAAAAATGGTTTTGAAAATTTTTGTGCCTTTCACAATTAAAAAAAATCTATCAAACACACACTTGAAAACTTTTGTTAACCCTAAATCTGGTTTCAGGTAAACTAAAAGTTTGATGGTCATTTTGACTGAGAAATATCAGTGGCTGAATATTGTAAACACTTTTGAAACCTCACTTTCCCCCAAGTGGGTCCGTTATCTCTTCTAAGCCAAAACAATGTAGAAATTTGAGAGTCAAACTTGTTTCTTTCTTCAGGCTAAGCTCTTGTGAGCTCGTCTAAAAAATGTATTGTGTTTTCATTCACTATCCTTGGCAGTGGGCTCTGGGGCAAATGTGGAAGTGCTTGTTTGTCACAATTTGGCTGTCCCTAAAATGCCGTCAGGAATGTTGAGTGCCCTGGATTTGGGTTGGTGGAGTGGGAAGAAACCACCTTTCTTGAGCACAGACAGCAAGGGAGGTCCCCCTCTTTCCCACACTAAAACCAAGCAGGGATCAGCAAGAGAGCAATGGGGCACTGGACTGGAACACCTACAAGCTCCTAGAGTTAGTGAGTAGGAAACTCTGGTCTCATCCAGGGTCTCATATACCACTGCCTAGAGGCCTCATACGTCTGATTGCAAGAGGGGATTTCTATTGGGGGTACAGCTTTGTGCACAAGTGCTGGAAATCTGAGCGGGGCAAATCTCTTCTGTGAGAAGGAGCAACGAGGAACAAATCTGGGATGCTTGTGACAGCTGTCGCATCGTTTCCTGCCTGCCTGCCCGTGCAATGTCTGTTAGCCTCCCCCCCCGAACTATGGGCTGTAGGTGGAGACCCAGTGCTGCCCATTGAGGTGAAGGAGGGCTACTCATGCAGCTTACTCCCCCCATGCTTGGTAGCTCATTCCTGGCCAACACAACTGTTTCACTCCTGCTTATCTAGGTTTTAAAGCGCTGGGCTACCCAAAAGATTCTATTGTATGAAAAAAAGTTTTATTTCTGCTTACAGCTCTGGCATTAGAAATTTAAATCTGAATTTTTTTCTTCTTAGATACCCCCCCCCTTATCTGTCATGGTTTTGTAACTAAGCTTTATTGTTTGGGAAAATCACAGTAAGATTGAAATCTTTTAGAAGGTTATTATGTAAACTAAATGCAGCATTTTATGATCCTTTCAAGTAGTCTCAGATTTGTCTTTCATAACAAAGTACAGTACTGAGTTTTAGCTCTCTCTCTCTATTTCTTTAGCATAGCTTTACAAGCTCCCTGTTCAGTTCAGCATTGGAGTCCTCTATATCAGGGTTCTCAGCTTTTTTTTAGAAAGTACCCCTTTAAAAAATAAATTATAAGCACCCCCAGTACCTACAGTTTTTGGACAATTTTTTTTTCTACCATTGCAACACATTTGTTTAAACAACTTTATTGTATCCGGGCAGGCAATGACATTTTTGGGTTTAAAAAGTACAAAAATAATAAAAAATTCTGTAAGACTTAAATTTCATTTGTCTTGATGTACCCTCCAGACTTCTCTCGAGTACCCCTAAAGGTATTCGTACCACTGGTTGAGAAACACTGCTCTATATCGCCAACATAATCCTATTTTCTTATTACAGAGCCAGCCAATCAAAAATGCCATAGTCACTGCTAGAACTATGAGGTTCCCTTATTTTCTGCCTTAAAATTCCATCTGCTCACTACACAGAGGCACTGTTTTGAGGCTGGAGAAGGAAGATGCAAATACACTCACAAAATCCACTCTGACACAAAAGCAGACTAATTAATATGTTACAATGTTTCAGTTAACCAAGGAAATATCTGTTAGATCAAATCACTGTTTAAAGGCCATGATCAATGTGAAATATTTTTATCGTAGTTTTCTGACAACTTCCTTTAGTTTTTTAAATCAGTTTGGTGACACACTGATTCAATGGTATTTTTGTTCTTCATCGCTGAACTAGTACCAATAGGGTGCTATAATGTTTGTAGCAATTACGGTTTTTAACAGTTGTTTTCATTTCCCCTACAGGTAAATACGTTTATCAGCCAATGACTCCTGTGGAGCAGCTTCCAAGCACTGAAATACCCATCAGGCCTAGGGACTCCACAAACACCATGCAGATTTCAGTCTCACTCACGGAACACTTCTTGAAGTTTGCACCTGTCTTCCACCTGCCGCTACCCCCTGACTCCCCGCGGTACTGCACAATCTCTGACCTCTTTATCGACAATTACCGTGTGAAATGCATCAACGGGAAGATGTGCTACGTGCAGCGGCAGCCTCCTGCTGTGCCCCATAGAATAAAGCCTGACGAGTTTGCTGTTCGCAATGCCTTAATTTCAAAAGAGAGCAATACACCAAAACCAGATCACTGCTCTTCCCCCTCCAGCTCGGAGGACTCTGGGATCAATGCTGTTGGGGTTCCCTTTATGGAGTCGTGTGATGAGGACACCGAGGAGGGGGCGGAGCTAAGTTCTGAAGAAGATTATAATCCTGATAGTAGTTGGGAGCCAGATGAATGCCCCCTTCTGTCACCCTCGCAGTGTGAACTGGAAGTGATTGAGACTATAGAAACTACCGTGTGACAGGCGAGTCAGAATCAGTCCTATGTACACTAGCCAATATTGCTTTTGTAGCATTTATATTTGGTTTCTTTCTGACAAGTCCTTTTTTCCAGTGCACTTGAGACTTTCAGCCTCTTTACAGCAGAACAGTAATGAGACTTACACTTACTCTAATTTTAATGCGCTCCCTTACTAAGCAGATCTCCCACTTCTATGCAGAAGTGACGATAAAAAACGATACCGCGTTTATGACAAAGCGGGCCCAGACTAAGGTCTGGGTCATTTCCTTTGCTATTAATTGTAACAGGAATTGCACCCTCCTGTGTTTTATGGGGACATTTATGATATACTTTCCCAGCACAGGGTATTACAAAGCAGCATGGAGAAGGCTATGCAGTTGGCCAGACAAGCAGGAAAGCCGAGTAGTCTTTATTCTCTCCTCCTGTCGCACAAACACATACACCTACGCCCAGTTTGAAAATCTGGTGTGCTCCCTTTCTCTCCCAGCCAAGGGCTCCCCTAGTAGTACACCCCTTTTTGAGCACAGATGTGGCTCCTTTCAGACCTCCTCAGCCCCCCTCTTTGAGTGGCGAGAGAGCATTGCAAAGTGCCTCCTACCCTTCTCCAGGCTATGCATAATGCATCCACAGTAGCAGAGCTCCTGCTAACTCAACAACCAGGGACTGATCATGGGTCCTGTCAAGGCTTTTCCCCCACTCTGGCATGATACATGCAGAAGTGGGGACCCACAAAAGTACCCCAATCTTTCCAGACTTTGGTATAAAGCTTCCCCCCAAAATCTTAAACACCTAAATTTTGGGGATAAAAAAATTCACTGTCATCACCCAAGTAATGATAAAGAAACCAGGGAAAGATCACTTGGGAAATCTCAGTCCCAAAAGTAAAAACCATGACACAAAAATTAACCAATACCAGGTTAATAAAAAGAAAAGAGAAAGAACTTTTATCATCACCACGATATTCTTGTTGCAAGCATAATGAGTAGATGGAGAAGTCACAAATTAACATACTCATGGGGTAAACCCCACCATGGGCCAAGAGCTTAGTTGCAAAAGAGAGGAAAACCCCATTTCTAAATGCATAAACATCAGATTCCCATTCCCAAACCATAACACCTAACGGATTTATCTAAACGTTACCCTACTTACAGACAGTGAAGAGTCTTGGAGAAGGAGACATGTCTGCCCCCCTCAGTAGCTGGACAGAAACTGCCCAGAGACAAAAGAGGGAAAAACCAGAAATTCCTTTGTCCCAGTTTGAAATTCCTATGTACATTCCTATTGGCCGACTCTACCTGGCTTAGGTATAGTTAACCCCTTAGCTCCCAGGCTGCTGGCCATCTCTCATGATCAGGACAGGTCCTAAATTCAATTCCCTCAGCAGTGGAGTTTTTTTTTTGCTGCCAATACATCATTTAGCCAGAGCCAGCCCTGTCTTTCTCTTGACATAAAAAAAAAGCACTAGTTTTTGTTTGTTTTTATTTTATTTATTTGGAGATTTTGGTTGTACAACTCAGGCCCCGCCAGGCTGAGCTGTGAAGTGACAGCTCTAAGGGAGAGAGAAGGGTCCAAAGTAACATGAATGTTCTGCATCAAAAGGGGAGAGGGACAGATGAACAGTCAGGTCAGTTGTGCCTCTGTCTGAATATCTGCATCATCCTTGCTTTGATTAGCGTTTCGTTTAATTTTGGTTCAAACTATTGCCAGTGCCAAGACCAGATTTGAATGTGTCGGTCGTTAAGGCAACGGATTGGGGAGGAGAACTGCAGGACAGAAAATGGCTCATTGGTCTCATACTTTTCCTCAAGCCTTTCTTTCTAATTTGACTTAAGTGTATTTTTGCCATTTCCTCCAGTTTAAGTTGATAAACAAGGATTATCAAACCTTACCTAAGACTTTAAAGGCCCAATGTACATGTGTCTGCCCTGAGTTGTTAAACAATACGGAGTTACGGTTACCAATAGTTGTGCTATTAAGAAATAAATGTGACCACTTAATTTGTATGCGTGTATTTTAGCTGGAGAATCAAGAGGTACTGTCTAACAAGAGCTGGACATTGATGGATTCTAAAGGACTCTTCCCTAAGCAAGATGCTAAAATAAGAAACATTTCTCTGACTTTATGCTCCAATCTCTTGACAACCTCTAAATGTATTTGAAAACTTTTGTATGACTGAACTGGTTAGGGACAGTTGTAATAACAGTTCCGCTTCTGATTGTAAACCTGGCCTTGTTTGTAATTCTTTTGTTTGCTATTTACCTTTCAAAATTATGGGTGAGACTAAGGATATAGAAAATACAGTTTTAGTTATCAATACTAAATCTCTTATTCTATGCTGTAGAATGGAAATATCTTTACCATTGTATCCTGACTTATTGCTAATTTTTATACACTTCGTAATTGACACTTTTAGAAAATATTTAGACTACAGTGTGTGTGTGTGGTAGGAATTTAACATGAATTGTTATATAAAGTCATACTGTACTTTTTGACTAAAAACCAACAGAGGAGAAATAATAGGTTTTATAGTTTTGATGAAGTATATAAACAGTGCAGTCCTTGTTATAAATAGATGAGGAATCTGGCCCATGTGAATGAGCAAATACAGTATTACCAGGCATGTCAAGAAACATGAAGTTTGGTTGACATTTAACGGAAGATTGTAGGAAAAGCTATTTAAATTGAGTTTCTTTTTTTTTTTTTAATGTGGGCTTTATGTTTCCTGGGTAACCAGGGTTTTTACCTTGGCAGTGTTCTGTCTTAAGCATTGTCATGAGCTTCAGAGGTAGAAGAAAACATTAATTAATGCTATTGTATTTGTATATAAGCCTTCAGATGTCATTTGAGACTAAATCTGAAAACCTGTCATCTTGTGGCCTGCCTGGCTGACACAGCCCACTGGAGAGGTTCCTCCCGTTGATAAATGTACTTTCAGGGATCTAACACTGTCAGAGGGCCCTGCTGGAGAGAACACTGGAAATAATTACAAATTGTATTTCGGTGTAGGAACAGAATATTGGAAAGGGCCAACTGAGTGCGCAGTAAGCAGAAGGAGTAGACCTCTCCTTAGAATTACGCAACCACCCCTGCGGTCACAGGGCTAGAGTAGTGACTAGTGAAAATTAGTTGGGTAGTCTTGACTGAGATTAACTTAATATCCTCTGGTGACACAGATTCCATATCATCGTGTCGGGATACTTTTCTTTCTAAGCTATTAGCAATTACCGTGTTTGTCTCTTACCATGATCTGTATAAAAGTATTAAGCACAAAGGCCTTGTTACATCTTATAGAACCCCATGCATTTTAGTGGAGTACTTGGGGACAGGGAAGGGCAAGATTTGGGCAAATGTTTTAACAGACAATTCTATAATACATTTCTCAAATTTATGTTCAGTTCTTGAACCACTCTCTGAACAGGTCGCTTTGTGTATGCTACTTCAGAAAAATACTCCGATAAATGTGATTTGTTTTTTTTCCACAAGCACAGATGTAGGTAGTCTGAAAAAATCTACCTTTCTGATATCGAAGTTCTACATTCTAATTTGAATGACTGAGGAGTGTCCTGTTTCAGGTGTATGTATTTCCTCTAATAAAATACTAAACAATTGAAGCATAGCTTGTCTTAAGTAACTCTGTGTTCTACATATTAGAGTGAAGTGTTTCAGTTTGTCACTAAAGTACCAGTTACTCTGGCTCCAGTTCAGCAAGATGTCCAGCTTTCTGGACAGAAGTAGCTGTGTTGAAGTCACATGCTTAAGTAATTTCCACAACTGGAGCTTTGCTCACAAACACTGCCTGAATGTTTAAACCACACACTTTCTGACTTGAATTTAAATAAGACCGATAATTACTGGTGTCCATGCTCTCAAAAGGATGTTGACAAATGGAAAAGGATTCAGAAAAGAGCTACAGGACAATTTGTGATCTGGAAATATACCCATAGAGTGAGAGAGAAAAGAAGCTCAGTCTATCTAAGAGAGGGTTAGGGTAACTTGATCATGGTCTGTAAATTCCTGCATGGGGAAAATATTTCTAACAAATTTTTTTAACGTAGCAGAACAGGGCATAACAAGGACCCATGGTTGGAAGTTGAAGCTAGACAATGAGTGTAATTAACTAGTGGAATAATTTATATAGCAATGTGATGGATTCTGCATTCCTGTTTTTATATTAAGACTGGGTCTCTCTTCAAATTATATGCAATAAACCAAGTAAGTTATTGGTTTGGAGGAGGAATTACATGGTGGCATTCCATGGCCTGTGTTGTGCAAGCAGTCAGACTAGACAATCATATGGTCCCTTCAGGACATAAAAGCGATGAGTGCAGTAAATGAGTGGAGAGGAGTTTGTGACTTGCAGACTGCTTTCTACTTCAGTCTGTTTTGCCAGTCAGCTATTTAGGACTGGCAGGAAAGATGCAATATACAGTCATCAGCCAGCAAGGAGGATCAAAAGGAACAGATTGCTTTGAGATGGCTCTGCAGCATGCAACTTAAAAGGTATATTTAGTGCCAAAGAGTAAATATTATTCCATCCACCTTGCTTTTAGACCCAAGGAAAAGTTTAGAATGAAATGAAGCTAAATGACTTGCTAAGAATTTTTTCCTCTGCTAGTTGTGTGTTCCTGGGTGCTTCTTATCTGGTCTTGCAGACACAGTCGAGGACAGCTGTGCAGCGCAGCTTCAGTGTAACTACCACATGACCTACACTGTAGTTAAAATAATCTTCAAAACCCAGCATCTCAGTCAGACCGCTGGGCCGTGGGGCTGACGCTTGGCTCCCTGGCGGCTCGGTGTCCCTCTGGTAGCGCAATGGGATACAGGCATTGGGGATCAGGCTTCAGCTGGCAGAGCTTTCATATCTCTTGGCACCTGGCTTCTAATCATTCTCACCCGGTTGTGAGCCTGTTTGATTCGGTGCTGGGGGGAAGCAGAGTGCATTAGGATCTATTCGTGCCCTAGACACTGGCTCCCTGATCGCTGCATTTTCCACCTGCTGCTGCCACCTCTGCTTAAAGACATGCAAGTGGAGTGGAGGGCTCCCCACAAAAGGATCAACTAAGCTGTACCTCATCTGGGTCAAGACAACGCCAGACTGCCAGATTTCATTGCAAGCAATTGCAAGACAATTGTCAGATTTCAGCCAGCAGTGCCTTGTGGTTTAGAT